GAACATGCAAAAACGTATTATTGGTTATAAATTTGTTGATTCAAAACACAATGGAGCATATATTGCAACTATTGTTCTACAAATTGTTGATTTTTATGGACTCATTGATAAAGTTTTAACTATCACCTTAGATAATGCTTCTGCTAAGTGCTAACACAACTGCAACAACTAGCTTAATGAAATGATTGCAAAATTAATCCAACTTATGCACCGGCCATTAATGAAATAATTGCAAAATTTAAAAAGTATTTTTTCCCTATTCCCCAAGTTTATTTAATTTCTACTATACTTAACCCATCTTTAAAATTAAGAGGTGCAAATGGACTTGTTCGCAAAATTTATGAGAATTTAGCAATTCAAGAAAATGAACAACCATCTCTCGAAGATTGCCAAGCTAATATATATTCTATATTAGATCAATGTTTGATAAATATAAATCTATGGAAACAACAAGTGATGAAACTAGGGAAGAAGAAGAATACAATGAGATACTTAGCACCGGGAGCTATGACGGCATGGAATTCATGGAACATCAATCAACATTGCCAATTCTAGAACAATGTCCTAGAGAAATTATAGATAAGTTACAATGAAGTTATATAGGAGCTTACAAATATTAGTATGATAATTTGTAATTGGCTACTAAGAGGCCTAGTTTAAACATAACCTTTCCTAGAAGGTCACTGCGTAGATTAGGTGCTATTCAAAAGAATTATAGTTGTATGTGAGATTTGAAAGTTCTATTAATAAAATAAAAGGCTTTAAGCGTTGAATTATTTTTATGAATTGTACACTCTTACTTAGTTACTTAATGACTTGAAATTATATTAAATAAATTATAACTCTATTATAAATTTATAATTACTAGAATATTTCATTACAAGTCTTTTGTTTTAATATTTTATAATTCTTTACTTAGTTTTCTAATTTTCGTTTAATTTTTAAGTTTATTAAATAACTCAAAAAACTAGCTGTTGCAAACTTTAAAAATTTAGTCATTGTCAAAAGAATAGCGGTTTCCAAACTCAATGCTTTAATATTTTTTTTTAAAACGACACTTAAGGCCCGCGAACCCGTCCCGTCTCGTCCCGTTTGTTAGCGGGACGGGATGTGCCTATCGTTTCGTCCCGTCCCGTCTCGTCCCGTTTGTTAGCGGGACGGGATGTGCCTATCGTTTCGTCCCGTTTGTCCCGTCCCGGCTAAATGTCGTCCCGCCCCGTTAATTCTGTCCCGTCCCGTCCCGTTGGACAGCCATAGCCACTACTACTATTTAGCTAGCATTTTTGTATGTTTTATGAGAAAATAAGAATTTGGATCAAAGGTAAAGTTGTCTTGACTTATATGTTATGCGAACGAGCTGATGTCACATATTTGAGTCGTGAAAGCACCTATTAATATTTGTATTAGGGTATGATGTTTACATAATGACTATTTTTCGGACCATAAATACAAGATGCTTTTATGCATCGAAATGCAAAAATGATCTTTTTGCAGGGCCAAAAGACAGAGGGAGAAGCCTACTGGATGCTCTGACTGGGTCTATACTCTGTAGATACACATCCCAAGTTTTGAAACTTGCCCAAGTTCCATACTAATGGCGATAAGAACTCTTCTTCGCGCCAGAAGTTGTACTCACTATTTCCCCCTCAAAATCCTCCATCACAATCACACACAACCCACGAAATCCAAAATCTTCCCACATCATCCCCTTCCATTATTCTCTGCTCATCACTTCACATCCCTTTTGCACAAAACTAATTTCACTTCCATTTCAGACGCCCCACACTCTAATTCACACCTACTAATAAGTGAACTCTCTCGCATCCTAAGCGATTACAGAAATCCCCACAACGACATTGAATCAGCTCTCAATCCTTTCTCCGACAAGATTTCGGCTAATATAGTTGAACAAGTCCTTAAACGCTGCAAAAATCTTGGGTTTTCAGCTCACAGATTCTTCATATGGGCAAATAAATTATCGGGGTTTTATCATAGTAAAGAAAGCTATCACATTCTTGTTGATATTTTAGGAAATAGCAAACAGTTTTCTTTGTTATGGGACTTTCTTTTTGAGTTAAAAAGGAACAAATCTTGTGAATTAGGTCAAGATATTTTCTGGATTGTCTTTAGGTCTTATAGTAGAGCTAATTTGCCTGTTGATGCAATTAGGAGTTTTGATAAAATGATTGATTTTGGGATTACCCCGAGTGTAGTGGATGTTGATCAGCTTTTGCTTGCATTATGTAAAAGAAAGCATATGAAAGAAGCGAAACAGTTCTTTGATATAGTTAAAGATGAGTACATGCTGAGTGTGAAATCTTACAGCATTATGATGAGGGGATGGGGAGAAATGGGAGAAGTAGTTGAAGCACAGAAACTGTTTGATGAAATGCTTGAGAGAGGGTTTGCAGTTGATTTGTTAGCTTATAACAGCATTTTGGAGTCTCAGTGTAAGGCTGAAAAAATGGATGATGCCTATAACTTGTTCGTGAAGATGAGGTCCATGGGACTAAAACCTGATGCTTTTACATATGCAGTTTTTATTCGTGCTTATTGTGTAAAAGATGATATTCATTCAGCTTTTAGGGTCCTTGATCGGATGAAAAGGTACAAGCTTGTGCCTAATGTATTTACGTACAATGTTATCATCAAGAAGCTTTGCAAGAGTGACAAGGTTGAGGATGCTTACCAACTGATAGATGAGATGATTGAACGAGGGGTAAAACCTGATTGTTGGAGTTATAATACAATCCTTGCTTGTCATTGTGATCATAGCGAAGTCAATTTGGCACTTAGGCTGATCTCAAGAATGGAGAAGAACGGTTGCCTGCCAGATCGGCATACATATAACATGGTGCTTAAAATGCTCATAAAGGTCGGAAGGTTTGATAGAGTTGAGAAAGTATGGGAGAGTATGGAAGGCAGGAAATTTTATCCTTCGGTCTCAACATACGCTGTTATGATACATGGTCTCTGTCAGAAGAAAGGCAAACTTGAGGAAGCATGTAAATATTTTGAAATGATGATAGATGAAGGGATCCCGCCATATGGTGAAACCTGTGAATTATTGCGGAATAGACTTATAGGTTTAGGATTTGCAGAGCAAAAAGAGATTCTTGCGGATAAGATGGAAAGAAGTACTTCTTGTTTAATTCAAGAGCTAACAAACATAATGAGAGGAAACAAGGCCCGTGCCAGATTGAGACGTGAAGAAGAATACTCTGATAGTGATAAGTAAAGGAGTTTAATGTGCCGGAGAAGTAGAATAGCCTCAATCCCTTTGGTCAAGGTGATACATATTCTTAATGCCTGTTGTTTGTTTGCCGCCGCATGCTTGACATTTCTCTGTTTGCTTTTACTGGTAGCAGCTAGTGATGCTGACTTGGTCGTTCTTGGAGGCTACTTCTCGCAGAGATGGAAAACTGTAGCCTAAGCGGCAAAACTTTCCTAACTGATCTTTGTTATAGCAAGCTGTAGCAAAAAAGGTGCTGTGATGAGTTTCTTGATCCGTACCCAAATAAATGACTCTATTTGCTTGTAAAGGATCTAGATGTGGTGCAGCAGAAAAGCACCAGGTTTGCAAGAATATTGACCTCAAGTTGCATAACGAGCTTATTGAGGTTCTATGAGTGGATATGTGGATTTGGACAACTGGCTTTCTTAGTAAAGGAATGACGGACATGTAGTTATCACTTGGAATCCCAGGTAAACATTGGGCTCTGATGAAATGTTGTGTTAAGCCACTTGGCTGAAGAGCGATCACTTTACAAGAATAAACAAGGGCAGCAAGATTGTTAGCTACTTAAATTAGCCTGTCAACCACTGCTCGAGGACACCTTTAAGAGTTTCCTTTATTGTTTGTAAATCAAGGCATCTTTGAAATGCTCAAATGCTATCTGTTAGGATCGGGAACCCGGGTAGTGTGGAAGTTAGCCAAACAACGGTATAATGACAATAACAAAGACAATTGAAATTGATAACAACAACAGTTAAAGTATATAAAGAAGACACCAATTTAACGTGGTTCGGTCAAAGTGACCTACGTCTACAAGCGAAGAGGAATAATTTCACTATACCAATAAGAGTACAAAAGAGAGTACAAAATTAGAGTAAATACTCTAATTAATCCCAAATACCCTAAGAGAATAATCTCACAAGATCACTCCAAAGAAAGGGTTCACACAAGTGCTTCCCAACACTCAACTCTCATACAAAATACTCTTAATAAAGGAGGAAAGGAAGAAACAAGAAATGAAGACTCAAGTCTTGTTGGTGTGTATAAAATGAACTAATGGCCTTCCCTTTTATAGGCAAAAAAGTCTTGGCCCTTTAGGTGTAAAAGAAGAGATACAACTTGTGCAAATGATGTCCACCACACAATGCAATATTTTTGGGTCCCAAAGAATATTGCCAACAAAGTCTACATTTTGCAAAGATGCTTATGCTTATGTGAGATGGACTCCATTAGCCAAAATATTGACAATAATTACAAATCTCCACCTTGGCCTAATTTTGGCTGATATAGTAAATTTGCTCCACCTTTTCCTCAATAGCCCCAATGGGCATATGTCAAAATTTAATGCCATCAAAATCAGACAAGTTGTTTGATACCGAAACTGTAGTAAAGCCTATAACAGTGGATCCCAATAAAGTATACAACGAACCAGATCTGTGTGCTTTCATGATCACAAGAGCACCATGAGAAACTTTCAGAACTCCACCTTCACCTGTGTACTTGCACCCAAGAAATTCTAGAATGCCCAAAGAAATGAGATTTTTCTTCAAGTCAAAAACATGTCTAACATCAGTGAGAATTCTCACCACACCATCGTGCATTTTGATTCGGACTGTGCCTTTTCCAAAAACTTTGCAGGCAGCATTGTTTCCCATCAAGACAACTCAACCTCCAATATATTCATATGTGGTAAATAAATATCGATTGTGACACATATGATAAGAACAACCTGAATCTAAAATCCACTCATTGTTAGATTTGAAACTATTATTAGTTGCTAAAAAAATAGTTCTCTCAGTCTCATCAGCAGCTACACTTGCTTTGGCAGTGTCAGTATTTTTGTACTCATTTTTCCTTTTCTTACGCTTTTCTTTATTTTTCAGCTTATAGCATTCAGAGATATTGTGACCTTTCTTATGACAATAGCGACACTCTAAATTATTGTATCTGGATATGGAGTCGGATTTTCCCCTAACAAACAAGCCAACTTCCGCTTGAGTTCCACTAGCTTCCCCAGTAATATCACTATCTATTTGTTCTTTTGATTTTAAGATAGATTTAATATCCTTATAAGAGATATTATCCTTTGCATAAAGCATAGTATCTCTTATATGCTTAAAAGATAGGGGTAGAGAACAAAGCGGTAACTCCTCATCTTTAATTTCAATATCTATATTACTCAAATCCATAAAAATGGAATCAAAGGTGTCAAGATGAGAGAGAATAGATGTACCTTCACCCATACGAACTGTGTAAAGCTTCTACTTAAGGTAAGGTCTATTTTCCACCGTCCTCTTCATATATAAGGTTTTCAATTTTTTCCACATGCCTTTAGCTGTGGTTTCTACAGAAATTTCACGTAAAACCTCATTTGAGAGATTTAAAATGATACCTGCTTTTGCCTTTTTGTCTATGATGGCAAACTCCTCGTCCGTCATTTTATCCGGCTTCTTCTCATTTCCTTGCAACGTCAAGTCTAAGCCATCCTAAATTAGGATAGCTTCCATCTTTAATTGCCACATTCCGAAGTTTGCACTTCGGTCAAATTTCTCAATATAAGTCTTTGTTAGAGTCATTTTGGCTATTGAAACTAACCCGGTTAGATCCGGCTCTGATACTTTTTTGGTAGGATCGGGAACCCGGATAGTGCGGAATTTAGCCAAACAACGGTATAATGACAATAACAAAGACAATTGAAGTTGATAACAACAACAATTAAAGTATATAAAAAAGACATCAATTTAACGTAGTTCGGTCAAAGTGACCTACGTCCACAAGCGGAGAGGAACAATTTTACTATACCAATAAGAGTACAAAAGAGAGTACAAAATTAGAGTAAATACTCTAATTAATCCCAAATACCCTAAGAGAATAATCTCACAAGATCACTCCAAAGAAAGGGTTCACACAAGTGCTTCCCAACACTCAACTCTCATACAAAACACTCTTAATAAAGGAGGAAAGGAAGAAACAAGAAATGAAAACTCAAGTCTTGTTGGTGTGTATAAAATGAACTAATGATCTTCCCTTTTATAGGCAAAAAAGTCTTGGCCCTTTAGGTGTAAAAGAAGAGATACAACTTGTGCAAATGATATCTACCACACAATGCAATATTTTTGGGTCCCAAAGAATATTGCCAACAAAGTCTACATTTTGCAAAGATGCTTATGCTTATGTGAGATGGACTCCATTAGCCAAAATATTGGCCATAATTACACTATACTTCTGTGTTTTTGTTGGAACTAAAGAAGTAAATGTTGAATCCGGGTTTTTTAGGAGACGCAGACGCATAATTAGTGAATGTGCTGCTTCTGCTATCTATTGTAGTTCTAGTTTGTGAAGTTACTAGATCAAAGCTGCTGGTAATGTGATTCAGAAGTGTCGTATCAGTCTATGATTGCAGATGTGATGGCATGTTGGTTGCTTGGGAATTGACCAGGAAGGGAAATTGCAAAAGGTGGTTACCAGTTCATAGAACAATCCTCCAAAAATTTAGAAACATGTTCCTTCGGGTAAGGTATTGTTCTCCCCAGTCACTAGGTACGGTGATGATGAAAATATTCACTCAAATCTTTTGGAGGATCTGATGATTTTGTAGCCTGTAATGTGATTTTTACTTATATTTATGTCGTCATTTAAGTTTACTAAGTATCCAGCCTTTCATATTACCCATACCCACCCATCTCTCTCATCCTAAGTGGGAGACTTTTGTTAATTTTTTCTTTACAAGATGAACAAAAAGGCTTTTGATTGTTTACATGGTTCAAACTATTTTTTAAGGTTTGGCAACTTATTTGACATGTACATACAATGGTTTCCTTAAGGTAAAATAGGATTCAGTCCAAAGCTACTGGGTTCGGCCAAATCTGTAAACTCTATGTTAGCTCCGCCCCTAGTTTCCAAAGGTTACATGGAGGAGATTGGTAATTTGGTATGTAATAACCATGGCATGTCCAAAGGAGTTTCATTCTCAGATTGGCTATCCTTGGTAAGTTATATACAAAGAACATACTAGTGTAGTGAAGAATGAATGTTAGCAAAGTATGTTCACAATGTGAGGTTGCAGATTAAAGTGTGGCATACTTGTTCTTTGCCGGTGGGTTGTCAAACGAAATCTGGAAGAAGCTACTAGTGTGGCAAGGCATTGACAGGGATTCTATGGGCTAGGAGGCAAAGATATCCTGGGCACAATCACATGCAAAAGGGAAGTTACCTGGTGTACCATATATGGCTTGAGCAGTGGCGGACCCAGGATTTTTATCAAGCGGGTTCAAAATGCAAAGAAGCAAATATACAAAGAGGTCAACAAAAACTATATATTAATAAAATATATTATTACAACTGTCCTCTACGAGTTTTCATTTCCTGAAACGTATTCATAATAGTCTCATCAGAAATGATGTTAAATATTTTTCTTTCTACATAAGGTACCAAACAACCGCTCATGAATTCGTCATTCATTCGGTTTCACAATTTACTCTTGATCAACTTTATCGCCGAGAAAGTTCTTTCAACTGTAGCAGTGGCAACTGGTAGAAGCAAAGCAAATTTCACAAGGCGAAACACAAATGGATAATTCAAATGCTTCTTTGTCTTAACTAGTGTTTCAGAAAGATCAACAAGTCCTTGTAGATTTGAGAACCTTTCATCAACATCACGAATATTAACAATATAAGTTTCATGTTGATTCTTGAGCGTAACCATTATATTCTCATCAAAATCGTCAGGATACAATTCAGCCATCATCAATATCTTGTTTATGTCAAAACTGAAAAATGAATCAACTGGATTTAAGCAAGCTACTCCAACAAGCAAGTTCGTTGTCACCTCATTAAAACGAGCATTGAGTTCTTGAACTTGCCAATCAATAATCTTAAAAAATATATCAACATGATAGTGATGTAAAATAGTATAATCAACAACTTTACGTCGAGATCTTCCGGAGTTAACATAGAAGTCATCAAAGTTTGGTATCAAAATATTATACTTGACACAAAATGCAGATACCTTATCAATAAGTGAATCTCATTCTTCTTCTCTTAGCTTTTGCAACCGTCTCTTTGCCACTTCAACAAGTAGAATAGCATTTGCAATATCTTGCTCCTTTTTTTGTAAGGATGTATTAAGCTCATTTGTGATCCCCAAAACATCTCTCATTAGGTGCAACATGAAAGCAACCTCAAATGTGTACGTATACGTATATTCAAACCGAAAAAGGATTTAACAACAACAATCTGAAATTTTCCATAACTAAAGAGAAAAGGTGCTTAACTTCTCAATATAAGCAAGTTTATTACTCTCAATTTCTCACCTTTCCCCATTTTTCATTAAGATTAAAAATTATATTAAAAAAAATATTTAACATGGTATATCTCAAATTGAAATTGAGTTTCTCCGCCAAAACCCATTAAAACAATCTGTATTTTTTTCCAAAGCATAAATTACAAAAATCTGCAATATAAGCAAGTGAAAAACCTGATAGTGACAATTGACGGGCTGACGGCGAGAGACGGAGAGAGGCGACCCAACGAGATTCAAGAAGCGGCAGTGGCTTATGGCTAATGGTGGAGACGACTATGAAGCAATGTTCTTTGAAATTGAACTACAACAAAGAGAAGAAAGCACATAGAGGTGAAGGAAATTTATTGGAATTAAATCTTTATGCAAAAGAGGAATAAATACTAGAAATGGTTCTTATTGTTATTGATCACCTGAACTTTTAGTTAAATACCAAGATGAAGCCCTTTGTCGTTTTTATGGGAAAAGAGACCTATATTAAAAAAATCAAAAATAGAGGGCATATGCAACTGACTGGTTTTGAACTCAGGACCATGTGGAAAATTTAAACCTTCTTTACCACTTTTACTTGTTTAAAGTGGGTTCAAAATAATCTTTATACCATTACGTTTTCGAAGACAGAAAAAATATACCTACATACACGGTATTATTTTGCGATGAAGTGGGTTCATATGAACCCTCTTGACTCCATGTGGGTCCGCCCCTGGGCTTGAGAATAATCGCAGGATATTCCAAGGTACAAAGAAGAATACTAATCCTATTACTATTTAGCAATTTTTCCAAAAAGTGCATTGTCGAGGGACTATGAAATGAAAGCTTGTTAGTTGGCTGAAAAGACTCAATTTCTACCCTGATTAGCTTATATGAACTACAGATAATGTTAGGTGTTTTTACTAGTACAGGGCTTATTGTCTCGTACTAGTCGTTTTACACTAATACTGGGGCTTGTTGTCCAGTACTAGTTTTGTACTTGCACTCCAATTTTAGTAATAAAATTTATTTCTTTACCAAACAAAATATTTTTTAGTATTATTGTATTTTAATATATAACAAATAACATAACTTATACTTTCCATTTCAATTTATATGACACCCTTCTTTTTTTAATCAGTCCTAAAGAAAATATCACTTTTCTTCATTTAAAACAATTTAACTTATTGTTATTGTACTTTTAATAAAATAATTATAGATATCTAAGACTGTTTAACAGAAATTATTTATTTTTACTTAAACTTCAGGTCAAGGTAAATGATGTTAAAGTCGATCAACTCAAACTAGTGACTTAAGTAAATGTGGGGCCAGAAGTGGAGAACTCGTGGCACCAGGCATGGAATAGGAAATAGGAATAGTTCATTCTCTGGAACACTCTTCTGCTGTAAAGGCGGCACATTGTTGGAAGAAGTAGGAAGAAACTTCTCAAAGCTTTTATACTGTATTTCTTTTCAAGCTGCTGCTAGAAGGTATCAGATCTATCCTTTGAAACCACCTTTAAATAGCCTCCTCTATAATATTGCTGAACAACTACAAGTTCATATCGGCATATATACATCAGTAACAACTTTAATTTAACCTTGACGGATATCACCCTTAGAAATTAAATGGCTTTGTCACGTTTAGCTTTGAAGAATTTGCAGCAAAAGTTGGGTTCTTGCTCCTCCTCTGCTGAATTCAAGTGTTAATCAGAGGAACCTCAATAACGTACAGAAACAGAGATGGTGCTCTCAACTTGTACGACGCTTCTCCACCGAAGCTGCAGGTAGCAAAGAAAATTCCGAGACCCAAGAGGTTGCAGTCTCCGAAGGTGGCAAGAAATCAAAGCTATTTCCAAGGAGACGCCGCCGTGGCAGTGGCAGTCTTTGGAGGCGCAACAACTCTGACTTTGCACCTGCTCTTTGGGGTAACAGTATTCTCCACAAATAACACATATTATACTTTACCTCTGCAGTTTCAATTTAAATGATTTTGTTTGATTTGTAGAATTGAAGACTTTTCAAATATTTGATAATAAGTTATAATATTTGTGTGATTATAAAACTTTTGAATCTTGTGATCTAAAATATGTTATAATATTTGTGTGACTATAAATTTTTTTTATAAAAAAAATATTGAAAGATGTCAATTATTTTAAAACAGACTAATAAAAAAATAGGAGTAGCATATCATTGACATGCCCTGGGACCCAATATAAATTTATGGGTACAAATTCTCTGAACTTGTACTAAATAGTTGATATGAATCCAAAATTTTAATAATATAAGGGGTTCGGTACTAAAAAATTTTAAAAGTTGAACTCATAAAGTTTGAATCACGTTTCAGTCCCTCTTTAAAGACAAACTTGAATTTATTTATCCCCCCATCTAGGAAGCACGTTTTTATTTACTTTGACTTAATTGTGGTCTTTTGGGTAGCGAATGGTATAGCTTTCTTAGCGAGCGGAACTCAATTTATAACTTTTGACTCAAATCATTTATACGTAAAAAAAAAAAAAAAAAAAAAAAAAGAAGAAGAAGAACTAAACTTAATAGTTGTCTACCCAACTACTTAAATTAAAAATAATCGAATGCGGTATAATATATGCATAATTTATGTATTATATGTATATAATTATGTATAATCAATGTATATGACTAGAAAAATAAACAATGAATATCACCAGCTATTTGTATAAAGATCCCAAAAAACAAATCGTGTATATATGACGCATATATATAGTATATTTAGTTGTCTAAATTCTAAATTTGTTCATTGTTGGCACAGAAAATTTACCTTCAGGACTTGGAAATGCATTGTTGCAAGCCACAGAGAATATCAACAGGATATTGGAGAACCTGAATTTAAGCCCCACGCAATTAATGGGAAGATATAAGGAGGACGAAAAGAGCTACAAAATCCGGTATGATTTGCCAGGGCTAAGCAAGGAGGACGTGAAGATCACAGTGGAAAATGGAGTTGTAACAATAAAAGGTGAGCACAAGGAAGAACAAGAAGAAGGTTCAGATGACGAGTTCTGGTCATCGTCAAGAAGCTATGGATACTATAATAATAGCATTGTGCTACCTGAAGATGCTAAGGTTCACGAGATCAAGGCTGAAATGAAAGATGGTGTTTTGACAATCCTTATTCCTAAAACTGAGATACCTAAGAAAGATGTCAAGGAAATTCAAGTTATGTGAGGTTTTTTTGTTCGATAAAGTAATATCAGTACACATGTTGTAATGTTCCTATGTGTAAGTTAGGTGTAAGTTATGTGTGAGCTTTTGCTTTTGTTAATAAATATGACTGCTATTTACTCTCTAGTACTAAGTTATATATATTCTTGTTTTAGCATCTACATATGAGACTTGACTAACAGGTAGAATTTGGTAAGCCACTCTAAAATTTCTTATAGGCGAATCAGTTCCTGAATTGAGTTAGTCATTCCTTAGGTTTGGTTTTTAAATTGAACTTACCTAATCTGATTTCGAATAATGACCAAATTCCTTCTGTTTCAATACCATGTCAATCAGTTTCGATAGATTGTTTTCCGTCAGAAATTCGGTAATTTTTAGTAATGATTCTCTCCAATAGTCATATTAAATATAGCATTTCAAGCGAGGACACAAATATGTCTGGACTAGTTTTTTAAAAGATTATAGAAAATTATAAATTATCCATAAAAATGAAATAAACTTTTCTGATGGTTTTGATTAAGGGAGTTTAAAAATGATCCAGTGTCCACAAGGAAAACGTACTCCCTTGACTTCCCACCATTAGTATAATTGAATTAGAAGACCTCCTATTTTTGAAACTTTCCCACCATGCAGAAGAGTTAAGATCAACTCAAAATTCCTTCCCTTATATAAAACTATGTAGACATAATTATCTCATCCATCTCTAGCAAGCAAGAAATTAACAACTTCCTGACTTAGTTTCTTTTTCCAATAACCCTTAAATCTTCATTCATTTCAAACGAAACGTTGTTGGGAGTAATAAGACTTAAAAGGATAGTTTAGACTATTTATAAACTAGTTAGTCAAGAAGTTTGTTAGTCCTTGACATCTAAGCATAGATGGGTAGTGTATAAAGAAGTCACGTATATTTCATTTTTCTCATATTTTCAATGAAACAGTTTCTCTCCAAACACAGACCTTCATTTTCCCCCATTTCTCTGCATGTTATCTTCTTCATCAAGCTCTAAATTTTACATGGTATTAGAGCAAGAAGCTATGGATTATAGTCTCATAAATTGATCTGATTCTTCTTCTGCTTGTACTCTTCGAATTTTCTCTTCCAAAATCGATCTGACTCAAATTGTAGCTCAATTTTTTCTCTCTCAAGCCTTAATAAAATTTGACGAGCGCAAAACACAACACAAAATTAATGCTCACTAGCCAAAGATAGTATAGTTATATTATCGTCTCCATAGGGATTGAATTTAAACAGTATTCAAATAATCTTTAGTTGATTACTATCCAGGAGAATTAACACTTTGGATCGATGACTATTATTACGATTAACTACTAAAATTTAAGCAATTAATAATTTATCACAAAAGACAGCGGATGAGCAACGAAGAAATAAATACGAGAAATAAGGGTAATTGATTAGACATGTGCAAGATAACTGACTCGGGATCCAATTCTTGAGTTAATTCACTCTATAATACGGTTGATTCTCACGAATTCAACCGATAATCAGATTACACTTGAAGTTAATGTTCCTCTTTCGATTAAACGTTAATTTTAGTAATTAATTCAATTGAAGCACGGTAAACAATTGCAACAATAAAATTATGGTTGTGATCTAAAGGGTAACTTCTCACGAATATTCCCCATTTTTCTAGTTCGATTAACAATTCAAGAGGTTCTTTCGATTATCTATTTGAATCACGAATTTAAACTAGAGCAAAAGATGTGAAGAAATACAATATCAAACTTCTCCTTCGATTAAGCAAAATAATAAATAACTCCACAATACAAATTAAAGCTCCATCAATTAATTCTAACAATTAACAAGAATCGAATCCCTAATCAAGTTATCGAAACATCGTATCTGTCAACACCCTAATAGAAATTACTCAATAGCAATGGAGTATGACATCTCAATAAGGTTCAAAAATAAAGAAAACAACAATTCTAATAATTCTATACAAACTCCCGTATTGCACCGATTGCCGGTTGAAATATTGATTAATTCTTGAGTCTTCTTGCCTTGGTTGGTTCTCCTATCTTTCGTAGGTCAAAAGTCCCCTCAAAATCGTATTTTTGGTGTATTTATACCATGTAGGAACAAGCCCAGACGAAACTACCATTTTCTAGCCGAAATGGGAGATCACTCTGATATTTTTGCACACCCGTGCCGCGCCATGTGGCGCGCTTGTGAGGAAATCCAGAGAGCTTGCAAATTGCATATCAGACCAACTTTTGCACTGTTGCGACTCGTGGCGCGACTGTACCCTTTCTCAGAGTAAATTCGTTTGTTCACTTTTTGACATTCGGACTTGGTCCTCGACCCCCGAACGTGATCCCGACTTAATTTCTTGGGCTTCTACTTAGACTTCAGAGCTCCAACTTGCTCGATTTAGCTCCAAATTACCTAAATAGCTCGGAATCATTTCCTGCAAGGCATACAATACGTAATAAATATAATTCACTATCATTTAAGCTCAAACATACGTAAAATGCAGTAATTAGAGTGCAATACTACGGCTAAAATACGGGTTTCTAGCCTACCATCAACACCTCACACTTAGACCATTACTCGTCCTCGAGCAATCAAACTACACTTCACATAGGGATGACCTTTTCATCAAACAACCTCCCTAACACATCATGCCAAGAATATTTAAAATAGACTAAGCACCCTATCATAACATCCTAACCTCAAGACTCAACTCAAAAGCACCACGCATTTTTCACTAACTTGTTCACTTACTCTAACACAGAGGTCAATGACTTTACCTTACCTTCACAAGTCATGTGCCCTCACACGAACAATAGAGAGTAGTTCCACACACAATAAAATTCAAGAACAAATAGGAACTCAAGATAGAAAGGATTCACTCGCTCTCAGAAATAAAATTCATGTGCCACAGAAAATGTACCATAGGCTTGCCCGTAGTGTAGTACTCTACTAATTGAGCTAATTCAATGAAAGATCAAGTATGACTTTATTTTGGTTGTAATGTAGGTTGCGGGACAGGTAGGATACATATGGATATAGTGGCTACACCTCCCTCAGCACTTTAATACTTACAAATTAATAATTTAAACCCCACACTTGTGTTGAACCAAATTCCAACCTTCATATCATATTAACATCAACTCCCCACTTCTTTAAGCACAGACAAAGCAAGGTTTACCACTAGCAAGGAATGATTTTATTTATAATATATACAAACACCAACATTTTTCCTTTTTCTAGATTCCGATTTTCTCTTCGTTTTTTTCAATTCCCTACAAGTGGCTCTCACAATATTTTTTTTTTCAAATTGTGCACCTTTCTCCTTTTCTATAGTTCCACTCAAAAATCCTACCATACCTCCAATTAACTTTTAACAAGTACATAAATATATCAAGTGCTCAAGAGAGGTAAACGGTTCAAACAGATAGTCAATTCAAACAAAGAGGTCAGGCTTGTAGTGTGGTTGCCAAAGAAAATAGGATTACAGGCTCAAAAGAGCTAACTAGAATGCACAACAATTAGGCGGGTCATAGACATATAATTGGCTCAACAAAAAAATACCTATATCACTTCCTAGACTGAACAAGACTACTATTTCGCTTTGCAAACACACGGGACAAGTTCTAGACATCACTGAAATGCACAGAATATCAACAAAATCCTCACTCACACTTTGGCACATAACTCACTTAGGATCGGATCTTTCCTGACTCTCTAGTCAAAGAAATTAAGCAAAGTTACGATCAACCAATTTAAGGCACTTATCTAAAAGTGAAAAACTGAGCCTAGGTTGTCACAACTAAGGCACTCACCACGCTCGAGGCATATGCAGTCAAGGAAAATTGCTTCAAATTAGCACTATGACTCAAAATTCTTTATTCCTATAAAACAGAAAACTAACTACACCCGGTTCAAGTAAAACCCTTGGAAAAGAATCGTGATACAAAGAAAAATCAAGGGGGAATTACTACACTACCTAAGAAAGTAAAATAAAATAAAATAAAAGACATATTTTTGGATTTTCAATTTTTTTTGTATTTTTCTTGTTCGACTTCAAATCCCTCAAGAAGCCAGTCGACGAAATTCATCGTCAGTAAGAGTCGAAACTAAACAACTAATTTCTAACTATTACAGGCCAATATAATTTAGAGTTATGATTACAGACCATATTATCTAAAAATCAAGAACCAAATCAAACAAAACCAACTAGCAAAGTAAAATACAAATATAATCAAATAGGAGCACCCACCCCACACTTAAGAAATTGCATTGTCGTCAATGCAAAACAGTAAAACAAGAGTGAAAAGGTAACTCTCTGAGGCCCGTGACCTACTACCTCATCAACACCCTCAAAGGTGCACATGTACTCTTCATCATAAGAGGGAATAGAGTTGGCGTCCTCATCCGGTGGCATCTGTATTCCATCGGCCAAGCCCAACCAATACTGAGTGACTGCGGAAAAGGGATGGTCCTCCTGTAGCTCTACCAAGTCAACCTCCTTCCGAGCAGTACGAAGGCGCATATCAGCAAACAATAGCGGGAAAGGGGGGGGGGGTCATAGCTGTTACA